AACGTTAGCGAACTAGTGCACTGTGCACTGCCCACCAGCCGCGCCCCGACACATGGGGTCACGCCGGCCAATCAGAAAGCTTTGATGCGTTCAAGTGCATTATTCTGGCACAGGAAGATTATGATATAGGACATTAACGATAAAACAGAATATTGCTGTTCTATTTTTAGACACATCTCGCGATCGACTGGGAATCTCCCCGCGATCGACCGGTCGATCGCGATCGACTGGTTGGGCACCCCTGTACTACAGCTTCTCCAGCGCTTTAGAACGGCAAAGCACGTGGCTGTCTCCTCCTGATTGGTGGAGTTGGCCCAATAGCCGTAGCTCCACCGTCCTGACGTCAGGACGGTGCTCAATCTGGATCCGTTTTTTTCAGATCCGTTGCAGCCCCTTTTTTAGAGATTTGGGCACGGGGGAAAATAGAGAGGGTTGTGTTTTCTGACTCTTGGTGAGTTCCCTGACGCACCGGGGACACATATTCATGTTTAAAAGACGTACAAAGGTGCATTTTGCATGATAGGTCCCCTTTAACATTAGACTGCTATGTTGTCATTATTCTGTCTTAACCATCAATATAGCTCCTTTCTGGCTTACCTCCATGTCACCAGCGCCCACTCTCCCTGTCTGGTCGCCATGCTCACATTCTCTCTCTCCCTCTCTCTCTTTACTCTGAACACACCAGAGTGAACATGGAAGAAATATCAGTAAACTATTGACTGGAAAGACTGTTGATACACATTATACATATGGGGGGACACAGGTAGGGTTGCCAACCATCCCGTATTAGCCGGGACGTCCCGTATTTGAGCCAAAAGGGGCGTGTCCCGTACGGGACTTTGTTTGTTCCGGACTCCCGTGTAAAGGGAAAAATAAAAAATATTGTTCTGTTTGCGCGCAATGCAGTGTGTCTTGCGTGCCTGTGTGTTTGTGTGCTGTATGGGAAGGGCACTAGGACCGCTCAGTTGACAGGGCAGGCACAATGCTCGCACGTGTGTGTGTGAGATTTTCTCCGGTGGGCCGCGGGCGCGGCATCATTGTTTGTGTGGAATGTCAGCCTGTTCAGTCGTGTGGGAAAATGAGCGCTGCCGGTGGAGGAGGTGATAATGAAAGAGGAGAAGAGAGAGAGGATGTGGTTCTGGGCCCTGGCCCTTCTAAAAAGAAAATACTTGTGTCTTACAACAAACAGTGGAAGAAAAACACAGTTGGGTAAAGCCTGTGAGTGGAGATCTGTCTCCAGTCTTCTCTGTGTGTGTGTGTGTGTGTGTGTGTGTGTGTGTGTGAGAGAGAGAGAGAGAGAGTGTGTGTGTGTGTGAGAGAGAGAGTCAGCTGATTGATGGGAAAATGGTTGGTTGAAGGATAACATTAAGTCTAATAATGATGTACCGTGCATGTTCACATCATGTATACTTTGCATTACTTAATACCATTTTTCAAATATTTATTTTTTAACATTTTGGACAAAATAGCCAATTGTACATCGAGGTGCCCACCTATCCGATTTGAACATGCTGATGTACAATGTGATGTAGTAGCCTAATGCAGGTGTAAGATCATTGTGTTTGTATTGTGTTATAGGTATGCATAGTTTTCTATGCATTTTGAGGGTTTTGGGGGGTTTGACCCATCGAACCCTAGGGGGCTGGCTCCCCCAAAAGAATTAAATAACATAAGCCTAACCCTAAAACCGAAATAAAGTAACAAAAAAAAGTAACTAAATCCGCCAGAAACCCGAAAATCTTCGCGCGTCCGTTTATCCATTTCTGGAAGTTGGCAACCCTAGACACAGGATTCTGTACATTAACATTAGACTGCTATCATTATTCTGTCTTAACCATCAATATAGCTCCTTTCTGACTTACCTCCATGTCACCAGCGCACACTCTCCCTGTCTGGTCGCCATGCTCACATTCTCTCTCTCCCTCTCTCTCTTTACTCTGAACACACCAGAGTGAACAAGAAATATTATCAGTAAACAAGCTATCTGACTGGTAACAATACTCACTTTCTCACTGCTCTTAACTTACTTTTTTTCTTTTCTGAGGCTGCCCAAAAAACTGTCTAATGTCACTGCCACCCTTCCTCTTGCTCATGCTTACAGCTTGACCTCGGCGATCTGCAGTTGCTGATGGGATGAATACGGGTCAGCAGCGCTGGATATAAGATAATTAAACATGTTTATTAGCAATTCTGAGCGTTCTAAACCCAGGACAAGCTATGATGCACACTGCAAACCTCCTGCGTGTGAGTATCTTTTAAATGCTTCTGACGATTATGAAATACTATTTCATAATAATTGTAGAGTATTTATTATTTAATTAATTCTGGCACCTTTGGTATTCCAAAGGTGTCACACATCAGTTTTAAATCTTTCCACACCCTACAAATGACAAAATAAAATAAAAATAATCCACATGAATAAATATCTATTGGATTACATCCAAAACGACACCGTCATTTTCCACATAGCTGACACTAGCCCGCCAAACCCTGGCTAACAACTGAAACCAGCTAGCCCACAGCTAGTTGACAACTGTCACTACCCGATCTGCAGCTCTGCCCGATCTGCAGTGCGCATGTGCGAGATGGTCCGCCATATTGGACAACTCCGGACGGCAACCCAAGATGGACACTTGACACAGTGGCTTTTAGCAAAGCTAAAAAATAAAACGAGAGAGAGATGAGTTATGTTAATACAACGTGACTTCACTATTATTTAACAACTCTTTTTATGGGGTTCTTTTATTTGGGGTTAAGTACATTGTCAGAATAAGTGAGAAATGAATTTAACTTCTGTTAGACAGCTATCATACTGAATACATATTTACTGTGAATGTGTGCAAAATGTATGGCATATGGCTGTCTAACAGAAGTTAAATCCATTTCTCACTTATTCTGACAATGTAGAAGAATAAAAGAACCCAATAAAAAGAGTTGTTAAATAATAGTGAAGTCACGTTGTAATAACAATAACTCATCTCTCTCGAGTTTTCCTTTTGAGCTTTGCCAAAAGCCACTGTATCAATGTTGTCCATCTTGGGTTGCCGTCCGGAGTTGTCCAATATGGCGGACCATCTCGCACATGCGCACTGCAGATCGGGCAGAGCTGCAGATCGGGTAGTGACAGCTACTATTCCTGAAAAGTTCGGTTTTAACATCAGAACTACAAGTTACTTACACAAAGAAGCTACACCGGAGGGTTCATTAACATTACCATTACGAAATAAAATAATATAGATTACTTTAGGGCTAACTAGAAAAGATACCAGAACTGATGGAGGGCAAATTAAAACATGACTGACCTGCTTGGAGCATCAAGCTAACTGAAGGTGGACTCAGACGTGCAACAGCGAAATACACCCCCGGGTACAAAATAAGGAACCAATTTACATATGAAAAGAAATATCATTTTGGTGAAGTTCACAATAACAGAAAATATAGATTTTCAAGTATCAGTATCAGCGCCACCCTGTGTTCAGGATGCTGGAAATCTGTGTGTTCAACAGAGGTGGGAAGTAACTAAGTACATTTACACAAGTCTATTGTCGGCCTACTTTTGTACACTTTTGGGACAGTTGTACTTTACTTGAGTATTTCCATGTTATGCTACTCTGTACCTCTACTCCACTACAATTCAGAGGTAAATTGTATACTTTTACTCCACTACATTTAGTAGGCTACCTTTAGTTACTTTACAGATTTTGATTAATAATGTGAAATATATTCATTAGACAGGCACAAATTAGACTTAAGTTAAACCTGTATACAAAGTAAATACAGCTGCACTTTTACTAGCTTTAATAAACACATTAAAGCATCAACAATTATAATCAAAACATATAATATGTATTACTCTGAAATGGACCAATTTGCATAATGAGTACTTTAAATATATTTTGATGCTAATAATACTTTAGTCATTTTACTTGAGTAACCTTTTGAATGCAGGGCTTTTACTTGTAACAGAGTATTTATATACTCTACTTTTACTCAAGTACAAGCTCTGATTACTTCTCCCACCTCTGAATGCCACCCATTGTTTTCAAACAAGAACTGGCATATAGAAATTGAAAAATATTACATTTACAAATAAGTTTATTTTCTGCCTCTAATGTTAGATATAAATCATTTAAACAAAGTATTAAACTAACAACATACACTTTGACTTGAAAAGATACATGTTGAAGATTTAAAAAGGTCTGCATGTTTTCAATGCTTTTGATTCACATAAAGACTGACTTTGTTGCGTAACAGAGGAGACTAAACAACAGATGGTGAGCAGGCATGAGTTTTCATTATTCATTTCACTGTTGACAGGTTTGTTGGATGCATGCAACGTCATTTATACATGTAATATAAAATAGAATCAAATAACAGCCACATGCTTACATCCTCACAGTTCATACTCAAGCAGTCGCACAGAAAATTAGAAAACATCTTCAACTAAAACTGTAACCATGCTGCTTGTCCATGTTCATTCTCCTATTTATCTAAGCACAGTAAACAAATGTGAACGTTTGCATCGCTAAGTGCAGTGCTGGTTCATTTAGAGTTGCATAGCAGCATGTAGTAACCCATCACTTAAAATCTTCTACAGTCTAAAAGTGCGATTTCCATTACTATTAATCTTACAGTAGGCAAAAATGAAACTGTTCATAGTGAAATAAATAATTAAATTCAACATATGAGCAAAATACCTGAGCCAGAGGCATAGTTACATGAAGGAATATACACTGAGGTCGCTGCAATTGCATCATTGTTTAAGGAAAATAAATATTTCACAAGAAAACTGAGATAATGCTAAGTGACAATAAACATATTTAAATAAACCGCGATTATTGCACTCTACTCCTATTTCACATGCATGGGAATGAAGCTAAAACCATTTAAAGAGTTTGGAAAAAGTTCATTAAAATGAATGCATAGTGCAGTAACGGGTCAAAACACAAACAAGGTTAACATTTCTATTATAAAACATATGCTCCAAATATACCATAGAGTTGATTTTGTCTCACCAAAACAACCCTGAACGAGGCTTTATTATTGTAAGGCACATATCATTACCTGACAACTAATAACTAAAGAGAGGGAGACATTTATTAAACATACGTGAAAGTTCCTGCTTTCTAGAACACATTATCAAATAATAGTTAGAATAAAATGAATAAATAACATTTAAATAAATAAATAAAAAAGTAATAAAAATTGTAAAAAGATAAGGAAACTCATACAAATGATACAAAAATACTTAAATTAGAAAGAATGGAAATAATGTGACTTGACCTCAGCTCCTATCAGGCTAAAATGCTTTTATCAGCTATGAGGTACGTATCTCTGCATGTTTACAATGCTTCTAAAATGTGCAGGTTTCCAAACAATAAGTACTTTCCTAATAGTTTGTTCATTAATTGTTTCTATTTGGCATTCTCAAACATACACAGGGCCTCATAAGTGAAGACCCCTGTGTTTCTGTAGTGCTTAGTTAACGTTAAAAGGGGATTTCCTCATGCAGTCTAGTGTTTAATGCAAGTTTCTTTGGCAGCCAGAGTCCAGCAGGACATGGAAACTGGTGCTTCATCAGTTCCTCAACAGATCCAGGTTTTATGATTAGTAAAATCAAAAAGGCCCGTCGTCAACTTTGGGTGTGCCCTGCTTGGAGTCAGCGGCCGGCTCCTGGTGTCTCACTCTGGGCTTCGGGGAGGAGGTCGGTGGCAGAGAGAGTCGTCTTTTTAACGACAGCAGGCGGAGGATCTCGCTCACCTGAGACTCGAGCACCGACAGGCGGCCGCTCAGTTTCTGAATGTCTCCCTTCAGCTCCAGCTTGGCCTCGTGCAGGACGGCCTGAAGGAGCGCTTGTTCGGACACGGGTTGAACAAAAGAGTGTTTGAGGGGGTCGACCCCGAGGCTGTGCTCGAACGGGTTCCTCTCAAACGGGCTCTTTTCCATCGGGCTCCTTTCGAACGAGCTTCTTGAATCTCCTGCTCGGTCGATGCGTAGGTCGCTCTTTGTGATGCCGCTGTCACAGGAGTCAGTTTTGTGCAGGGCGCTCGTCTCTTCCTCTGTCCCCTCCGCCCCGTTGCCCCCCTCTGAGTTCCCCATCTCTCCATCTTCCTCTGAGTTCTTGTTGGGGACTGCTAACTGCTTTGAGGACTCGGACCCTTTCGGCCACTCCTCGGCCTTCTGTGGAGTCTTTTCCGGCTCAGCAGCAGCAGCAGCAGCAGCAGCAGCAGCAGCAGCAGCAGCAGCAGCAGCAGGTGCGGCTGAAGCGGCAGGTGCGGCTGAAGCGGCACTTTTAAACTTTGCCCAGCCTCGAGCCCCTTTGATACCGGCAGCTCCACCTGCAGCAGTGACCTTTGCGGGGCTGTTGACCTTCAGACATAGCTGGTTTTCTCCACCGGGCCTCGCTATCGACTCCCCGGCTTCCTGTGTGCCGCTTGGCTCCGACGCCTCAGTGTGGATGAGTGTTTGTGGAGGGGCTACCATGCTCCCTGCGGACCCCCCTTCTGTGCAGGGGGCATTATTCTGCACCGAGGAGCTGTACTCCTGCTGCTGAGAGGGGACAGACTGACACTGCGTGTACAAGTTTGAGTCGGAGTTATGGTGGTGCAGCGGCTCCACCTGCACACAGTTGTGATCGAAGTAGGCCTCCCCCGGGGTCTGAGCGTCTCTCTGCAGCCTGAACCTCTGGAACAGCTTGCGGACCGGGTGGTCTTCGGGGATGGAGAGAGTCACCTCGTTCCTCTGGCGCTCCTGCTCCCTCTTCACGTCTGCAATCTTTCTGAAGATGACCTGCAACAGATGATGTGGGACACTTACACCGAGGCTACTTTAAATACAACTATAGCTCTGCTTTGATGAAACATATATAATGCAGCTGTAGAGCAAGTATTACCATCTAGACCTGTTGAAATATTAAAGGATTGAAAGTAGCAATGCATGAGGGAAACTGTTTATGGAACGATATCTAGGTCCTGAGGGTCTCTGAATTATCTCTGAAGACAAAGAAAGGAAATTGATATGATTCTTAGCATCTCACTTGCACTATAACACATTTGTTGTGGTAATAACTTAACTATATACAATAACTTAAACTGATCTTACCACCGAATCCAACTCGCCAGAATAACAATTGCTACTGCAGTAATATTTCAAAAATATTATACCTCAACAATTAAGTCATCTATGGGTTCACCTGAACCTAAATAACTTAGATTGTATGTTTAAAGCCACAAAGAAAACCACTACTGCAAGTTTGTTGGTCATATTTTGATCTAAATGCTCAAGACCAACAAGCTGTAGCACACTTTAACAATAAAGAATCAATTGTTTTAATCAAATCAGCGTCACAAACTGCAAAAAACACATTAAAACTGAAAGATGAAAGTTCAAAATATTGCACTAGGTACATAACTCATATTCCATGTGCAGTAAATGCATATTCATGCACTTTAACCGAGTACATGAAGTGAAGAGGGCAGACAGTAAGTGTTAAAGCTAAGCAGCAACAAGCTCTTTTCTAAAGCTGCTGGAAATGAATAATAGATGACTTTGTTCTCATTGAATACATTTTAAGTACACGCCATAAATATTTCAACAAAAATCCACAATTTGCCTTGAATTTTTTTAGATTTAGAGCTCCTTCACTGTTGGTTATAGTTTGATTACATAATAGCTTTTATTTAAATGGAGCTGCATCAAACTAGAACAACTTGAGAGTAAAGTTAAAGTACATGTTACTCGAAACATTATCAAATAATTATAAACCTGCATGTTTCTGTAATTACGCTGGTAGGGCTGTAGCTGGACTATTCTTGACCTTAGATACAGAAAATGTGTCATTTTAGTAAATGTGAGGTTGTTTCATTCCGTCATCAAAGTGCATATTCTTAATAAAAACATATCTTTTAATTCCTATTCATCTGAGCTATTCCTGAACAACGAGCACAACAGCACATATAGCAGATTGGCTTTAAAGGGATTGTTCATTAAGAATGTATGTGATTTTTATCCCAGAGGATCAAATTACAGCAATATATGAGAATGTTTAAGACTTAAAACAACCAATGTGTTTGACACTGAAAACTAACCTGAATGAAAGAAAGACAGATATTTCTTCCATTAAGTGTAATCTTTACCCGTTTCCGTAGATTGCAGGTGAGGATGAGGTTGCGGGAGAACGTGTTGGCGAACGCTGTGTAAAAATCCAGCACCCTCATCAGAGCCTCTTTCCTGATGACGTGCAGATCGCAGTAAGTCAAAGCTCTGACGTTCGCACAGGCCCGCGCCTGGGTGGTCTCTTTCCAGAACACGTCTCCAAACACATCACCTTTACCTGGAGAAAGCCATACATGATCACTGGGTTTAATATAGGCAAAAAGTGTAGAATGATTGACATAACCATGTGAAGGGGAGCACAAAAACATAATGGTAAACAGATGGAATTAGAGTATACAGAGAGTTTCAGAAAGAGAACAACTTTTATCAGGAATAAAAGTGTCTATATTCAGTGCTAGTGAGTGGAGTAAAACGCATCTTTGCACTAATACAACCTTTGCTCTGGTTTTATCTCCACCCACAGGCACAGATAAAACATCACCCGGTCAACCTAATCACAGTGCATAAGATTACCTAGAATTGCGATGACCTCATCATCCTGAATGACCTCTAGTGAACCGGAGACCACGAAGCACAGGGTGTCGACGCTCTCTCCGATGTGGAAGATGAGGTCTCCAGGGGCACAGTGGGTGGTCTGAAACTCCACGGCCAGAGAGCGCAGGCAGCCGTCGCTCGCCAGGCGGAATGCAGGGTGGTCGTTGAACACCTGCCTGTTGAGGTGCACGCAAATGTCCGCCCGCATGTCTTTGGGACAAATTGAAAGAACCTGACAGAGATATCAGAAAAGTGAATATGTATTTAAGGCAACCTGTATTATCATATTTTTATCATTGGGGTCAACATTTTCCAAAGTCCAGGCTTTTGGGGAGGTGTTACAATATATTAAGATAAAACAAATGAATAATAAACGTTCTTATTTATAGCAGTCACAGCAAACCTTTAGTAGTATTTATAATCTTTAAATACTCTTTAGATCTGTGATATCAGAGCAAACTAATTGAGCCATAACGACAGTCTGAAGACCAAACAAGAAGACGTTTATGGATAGACATCACACTGAATAGTAAAGTCATTTTTGTCAGGACCAATCCTGGTACTCTTGGAGGGAAAAACAGTTTTTTGTTTTAAAAATAAATCTATTTCTCGGCCTCAGCCAAGACTTCATTCTCAATTATCAATATAACAACACACACTTGGCTTTTTCTGGGTGATTTTCCTTTTAAAATAAAGTCTTTCAATTATTAAACTATCAATCTGCTGTCACTTTTACCGTAGCTCAGCAAAAATATGACCTACTACAGCTTTATGATTACAAATAATCTGGCATCTCTTCAGGTGTGAACCCTGAGTCAACGAGGACATCTGCTGTGACCTTTGAGGCTCTTTATTGTCCACCTGCCCACCTTGCTCATATATTTTTGTATGATATTGTATAAATTAATAGCATTTGTATAGCACCAGAGCTGTGCATAAGTTTTACTTTGGACTCGAAAACCCTAGTGGCACTACTGACTTCTATCCAATCAGTGAATGGTGATCTATCAGAATACGCTATTTCCAACCAATTATATTTTATTTTTTGTATATCTTATGTAAATTAGGAGTATAGGGATTTGTTGTAGTATATTAATGATACCTTATCTGTGTCTATGCCCCTTGACATGGCCCAGGTGGAGACGATGAAGTCCATGACCCGCTCACTGAGACCTTTGGGAACCTGGTAGAGCTTCAGGAAGTCGCGCACGTTGTTGAGCATCTCGTGATATCGGTTTGTGTTGGTGTACATCTGCTGGAAGATGGTGGTGACGTTTCCAAAGATAGTCGCATATAGCAGCGCTGAAACAGAAGATGAAGACAGTGAGGTACCCAGGGGGGGAAAAAGCAGCGTAACAAACACACTGACATGCGGGGCTGATTTATTCAGCAATATGAGACGGGAGGATATGCTTTACTCCAGGAAACCATGTGGGATCATTAGAAAGTTGGTTTATATTAAGGCTGAAACATTAACAATTTAAAGAAAATGTACATTAATAGGATTTGTATTACAAAATATTCACGTTATTAATCTAAGATCTGGAGTTGTGTTAATTAATGGATTAATTACATATATAAAAATGTGTAATGGATTGTTTGAATGTTTTAAAGAGATAACTTGTATCTTAAAAGGATCACTAATTATCAATTGTGGTGCAAATTAAGTTATTTAAGTTCACTCAACATGTTTTACCTTTAAAAAGATATATTCATAATGAAATACTATATTATTTTTGTTTTCTCCTGGTTACAAAGTTCAGATGAACCATTATCTACTCCTTTTTCTCCTCAGACTCGCATAACCTTAAATGTATCATTTGTTAAGGGTAAATCCATTTACATTAAACCTTGTGCAGCCTTATATGAAATAATGATCACAAAAATGACAACTTATTCAAATATGATGTGTTTAATGAGCCTTTCAAAATAGAAAACAAATATTATGTAATTTTAAATTGCATATATGATTTTTGAAGGGTATCATTTAGCAGTGGATTTAGCGTTATAATGTAATTCATAATGCACATTTCCTCTGTAAGTTCCGCGCTGCAGTGACCTCAAAGAGTCAGTCAGTATCTCTTATCGTGAGCTTTTACCCACTGAAGAGGAAAGAGTCGTCTCCAGTCGCCACAGCAGGATCGCAGAGGTTAGGATACATATCTAACGTGATGGCTCATTGTCCTTTTACAACACTCGAGCCTGTAGGCAAACTCTCCCTTTCTTCTCTTCCTCTCACATAATTACTGTATCTGTAGCAGGAGATTTATCGGCCGTAATTGAACCCGACACAAAAGTGTAACTAACTGTGTGATCTTCGTGTTCGGGACAACACCAGAATAATGGGTGTTTAGTTTTGGAAGTAGAGACCTTGTAGCGTGGCTGTCACTCTGTGTTTGCCTCACTGTGTTTATTGCATCACTTTACATGCTGTTTTAGAGGAGTGGGCCAAAGGTTAGTGTAAAGGCGCGTCGTGACGGAGGAACTGTAAGCAAGGGCTGACAGTGGAGGCAGTGACACTGAAGGTGGAGTATTACTGTAACTGCACTGGGTGATGAAAATAATAGACACGTGCATAAAAATAGATTTCTATTTTTATGAGGAGGTTCAAAGGGATTTAAATGAGGATGTTTTGTCTTATTGTTTTAGATAGAACATGCCTGTACACACTGCCTGACTTCCACAATACAGGACATTGAGAGTTTGATCCAACTGCGAAAACACTACATCTCAAAACCATAACATAATTAAAAGGAAAAACGTATATTGTATGTTGTATTGTATTAGCTTTAAAATTAAAGTCCCGCTTTTCTTTGCTTTACTGTCACAGTTTACATTGTTTTAATGGATGAAAATAGATGTGTCCCTATATTTTTCATTAAGCATCTGTGACTTCGTTAAAAAAAGCATTCACTCCTTGAGTTCAAACAAACTATTTAAAGCAGAAAAAATGCCAAGATAATTTCAATATGAGTGAATTCACACGAAGACGATGCTTTGTGATGACCAACCTTCAGACAAACCCCCATAGAGCAGGCTGTGATGTGCGCTGAACATGTCACTTTTTATTATCGACAAAGGCGAGTCTTAAACTCTCCCTAGAGAGCAACAGCGACTCTGCAGCTATATGTAGATTACACGAGAGGAGTCAAGAGAGACTGTAAACTACTGAATACTGTGGAGAGTGAAGATGTTCACGTTTTGTGTTGCTTTTTGTTGATTCTGATAAAATGATTTGATATCATTTGAATATTTCCATTATTTAAATATTGATTTCAATAATGGGTATTAACAAATAACAATGTTGATTTCTGCTATACCACATATTCATCCGTCAGAACCCGCTTTGTGTTGATCATTTTAGGCTTGAGTTTATTTGTATCTGTCTGTGTTTGCACTTAAACACCATATGTTGCTTAACTAGCAGCTGGGCTGTGGATAAATTAACGTGACTAGCATGCAAGTGAATGCATCCAGATTGTTGCTGCTTCTGCAAGGTTGTACTGGCATATTATGAATGGATGAACGCATGAATGAAAACATCATGAAAGGATGTATCGTCTGCGGAAGAGTGATGGGGAGATTGAGAAGAGGCTAACGCTGTACAGCTGATTGCATATTACTTCCCGTCTGTAACAGCAGACATAAAGAGGAAGCTTATGTCACGATAACAAGCGTCAGATAATCTCTATTTAGACTGCTTTCAGCGTTATACTGACGAAACACTTTGTGGTAGCTAGCTACAATTAGCTCTGTAAGGCTTTGTTAAGGGAACATTTAAAAAACGATAAAACTGTGTATTAGTTTTGTGTTTGTATTGAGTTATTTTTTGATTCAGTTGATATTTGTCACATTTTAGGAGCTACAGTTTCATTGCACAACATCTTACTGCCTTTAGCAATACCATAGCAGCTGAAATAATGACATGCCTACTGGTGCATGTGTGTGTCTGTCACTGAGGTAAACTTTTCCTGTGATGAGAGAATTTACAGTCATAACTGTGATGGAGTATTTTCTTTTCTTTTTTTTTTATTCCAAGTGTTTCAGCACACACTGACTTCACACTGAATGCTACAGAAACAACGGCAGAGCTGCTGCTCTTTCGTCCTCTGCTTGGATTGATTTAGACTGTCAAGGTTGGACTGTGTGTCCATTGAAGAAGAAAAACAGCGGTCACTTTGATTTAAGCTGTTCTGAGAAGCTTCACTTTAATTTCTCTTGACAAACAGTCCACTGGCAATTGATACATGTAGGGTTTGTGCTTTTGGTAGGCCTACCAGGCTTGCAAGAGCAAGCAATGATTGGAAGCCTTGTGTTAATCGGTGTGTGTGTGTGTGTGTGTGTGTGTGTGTGTGTGTGTGTGTGTGTGTGTGTGTGTGTGTGTGTGTGTGTGTGTGTGTGTGTGTGTGTGTGTGTGTGTGTGTGTGTGTGTGTGTGTGTGTGTGTGTGTGTGTGTGTGTGTGTGTGTGTGTGTGTGTGTGTGTGTGTGTGTGGTGTGTGTGTGTGTGTGTGTGTGTGTGTGTGTGTGTTTGTGTGTGTGTGTGTGTGTGTGTGTGTGTGTGTGTGTGTGTGTGTGTGTGTGTGTGTGTGTGTGTGTGTGTGTGTGTGTGTGTGTGTGTGTGTGTGTGTGTGTGTGTGTGTGTGTGTGTGTGTGTGTGCTGTAGAAAGAGCTTGTGTGTATCTGCATTAGACGGATGTGTGACTCCATTTACTGCTCCATTAACCAGTACTCATACCAAGAAACTGTAGAGCTATGACATTATTTGTTGTGTAATATTAGATGTATGGCTGCAACTAAACATTATTTTACTAACAATTAATCCACCTGTTATTTTCTAGATTAACAAATTAATTTCAGTAAAAAAGTCAACTGATTGATTCTTCGACTAAATGTTACAGATCTCTACTGAATGATAACCGTTTTGCCAAGAAGATTTTATGAAATGTTTGTGATATTAAACAGTGTTGGAAAGTGATTTTACTTACAGCCCACCATCATCATCGCCACGGAGAAAATCTTCTCTCCATCTGTGGCCGGAGCAATGTTCCCAAATCCGATGGTGGTGAGACTCGTCATGGTGAAGTAGAGAGAAGAAATGTACAGCGTGTCCTTGTTGGGTCCCCCCTCCCACTGTCCCGTCCCGCTGGCGTTGTATCGGTAAGGAGTCCCGATGCTCAGGGCCAACTGGTAGAGCCAGCTGTCCGTCTTTATGGTGTTGGTGGTCTCATCGATGACCTCATAGTCCCCGATACTGTACCAGATGCAGGCCAACCAGTGGGCCACCAGACCGAAGACGCACACCAGCAGAAGCAGGACAGCTGCTCCGTACTCCAGGTAGTGGTCCAACTTCCGAGCCACCCGGCCCAACCGGAGCAGGCGGATCACCTTCAGGGAGCTGAACAGGCTGCTGAGACCCTGCTGTGAGAAGCGGGAGCGAGGTGGGTCAAAATCTTCCCAAATGTTTAGATGTAAATATTTTTCTTGGTTTTGTAGTCTTTTATGATCATAAACTGAATATTTATGGGACTGTTGGCCCGAGCTCAACAAACAATTTAAATCTTTGAACCTTAATTGTATTATTTCTTCAAAACATAATTAACAGATTAATTGATAATGAAAATAACCACCAGTGGGAGCCCTACTGCATTCCTTTGTACTTTTACAAAGAAGGTTTTTCTTTTCTTTTTTTGATAAACTATCAACTGACTTTGTTATATTATCTTGGTTTGCAAAGCTATTTTCCCATTATTCAGTATACCACCAATCTACTCCATTACACTCACCAACTCTGTCTGTCTGCTGTTTGCGGTGGTAAAGTGATATTTCTTTATGGGTTCATTGTCAATATACAAAGCAATTGCTCAAAGCAGCTTTAAAAAATGTCCTTACTGGCAGAAACGAATCTTCTGTTCGTGTGGTATTCCTGTGGAAAGACTCCCGAAGATTACTTGTTTGAGTAGCAGAGGCGATGATATCCTACAAAAGAACAGTCAATCAGAAATCTGTTGATATTCATACGCAATGACAGGTACCAACACACGGGCCATTTTAGCAGTCAATTAATAAAAGCTCAATCACCTCATCTACATGTTCAAAGCCGTTGATGATGTCGTAGGGCAGGCAGGACAGCAGGTCGATGACGAACCACGTCTTCAGGTAATTCATGCGTATGAGCCTGGCGTCTGAAACCACCTCCCCAGAAGGACCCACGAAGGTGGTGTGGAAGTTCAACACGATGTCAATAAGGAAGACGACGTCCACGACGCTGTCCAGCACCAGCGAGGCCAAATTGTTTTGCTTTGTCTTAAAAGAGACGTTATACGGCACCATGATGGCGGTGTAGAAGGTGAGGATGAGGATGACCCAGTCCCAGGTCGTCTTGAAGGTGCAGTAGTGGAGGATGATGTGTGGGGGGGTCTTCGGGGCTTCCTGCTTGTACTGAGGGAGGATGTCTGATCCCAGCTGGAGAGCCTTTCATTGAGAGGGAATATTTAACATCAATAGTTGAGAATCAAGGAACAGTAATCCTGTCAGAAATCTTTTTATGTGTGCAAAATCTTGGAAAGTGTCCATTGCCGTTTTAGGGTGGATTTTTCACTATTTTCTTTTAATTGGGAAGCATTCTAATGTGTTTATTGGAACAATATTTGTTTACAGACTCTACATGTTCTACTTTTAAGGCACTTTATTTATTTAGCTGAGGTATTTTAAGTAGATATATTGCCAGTGGAAACCAAACTCTTCTCTAACCCCTGGACGCTGCTCACCTCGGCCAGTCTGGACGGCTTGTGGCAGACCTCGGTGCTGCTCAGTGGAGCTAACTGCTGCACCACGTTGCGATTGTTGGTCAGAGCCCGTGTCAGTCTGGCAAACTTTGTCCATCCTGCACAGAGAAAACAAACAATAAAATAAATGCAGGAACGCAGCACAAATATTCATAAAAAGATGCCTCAAATTACGTTTTTACGACAAATAACAATGATTTCAAAGCAGTGACCAATACAGAATAGTCATCTTTCAACATTGGCAATAACAATTTAATTATAATGTTCTTCTTGAAGAAAAGACTACATTTCTGATTTAATATTAAATTAAGTGTTTTCCACTGCTTGGAAAATGTTTTTTTCCCACCAGTATCGACAAGTATGCGAGGTAGGATTACAAGATACCCTCAGTTTTGAAAGAGAGTCATTTTTCAATCCATACCATAGTGCATGAATACATCATCATGACAGACTTCTAACTGCATTTCTAAGCAGAAAGGAAGAAATACTAAAACCAAAAATGCTATAAAATTAATTTGTGCATAATTTTAAAATACTGTACTATTTAGTACATCACTCAAATACGTTTTTAAACTGTGTTCATCTTTAATTTACAACATTACATGATTCAGCATGTCAAAGAAGAGGACATTGTGATTGAACCTTCCCTTTAAAGCCTATTAAATGTTGCCAGCTTGCAATTTTTGTGTGAAAATGCAATGATATTTATTTTATCCCCTCCATTTATGATCAATATTTATCATCTCTGTGGATGGTAATGGTGGCCCAAGTGTCCTTTGTTTCTGCTTGACGTATGTGAAAGTCTTAGTGGCACACTTGATCCCCTGGGACATGGCACCCTCAGAGACCAGTGTTCACTGACCCGCACACACAACACCTGGACAGTTGTATGTTACATACCAGGAAACAAACGTCTGTTAAGTCACTCATGTGTGCTCAAGACTTTCGGGTGCACCCTCCATGGAGTGTGAGGATACATTTAGCTTTGCTTTCACTGCCTGAACCATTATGAGACATTTGACAATAATTTGATCTGAATGTGAAGTAAATGTGTGTTCTCAGCCTTTAGTGCGTGGAATAAGAAACCAAAATGTAACTCCAACAGTGACAACGCTGAAACAATGATAGCAAATTTAAACAATTTGGCTCATAAAGACGTCTCACCTTTAGTTGACTCGTCTTCTATCGGCTGTTTAAAAAGTGTAATGTCTCTGAAGGTGCAGAGGAAGAGCACCACCTTGTCGTTCTCATTTCTGATTGGAGCTACCTGCATGTAGAGCCATATTGGCAGTCCTATGGAAAACAGATTACATTTAAGCAGTGTGAAATCAAAAATTGTACATAAACACATTTTTATTATACAAATAACCGATTTGGTAAAACACATAGAATTCAATAAATGTACTCACTATTCTTTGTATAGAGCAGCACCTCATAGAACTGGGACTCGTAGTTATCAAAGGTCTGTCTGATTTTGTCTATTGTGTTCTTATCAGTCAGGTCACCATACATGAAACTGCAAAATAAGGGAGAGAGAAAACCAAGAAGCAAAATGGAGCATGTTAAAAGAAAGAAAAGAAAGGCAGAAGGTCAAAGAGAGAAGATACTGAAGTGGATTGAACACTTTTTCTTCTTCTGCTGTTGCAAATCAGTGTTCACATTTCCTTGTGATGACAACAGAGTGTTGTATTTTCATTCCTGGTCCTCAGTCCAATTTTACCACTTCCATAATTAGTTGGGCTTTTAAAAATATATCTCGTATGCATATAAAGATCAGAGATTTCAGGGTGCCTTTTTACTTTTTAACATCTAACAAGGGACACCAGATGAAAGTAAGCCTTTGGGTCTAAATTCGGCTCATTTACAGTTGTTCTTCATTCTTCTGTTGATAACTAACAATGATAAATCCTTGCTCATCAGGAGGAGCTGGAGCTGTGATCCAAATTTCAAAAGTAAAAAGATTTGCACCCTCCAATCTTTGCATCACTCATGTACGTATGTTAGACAGAGACTCATATCTTACTTGCACGAGCTGCTCCTGTGCATGACTTCAGCTCGGTGATATCCAGATAGCTTGCAGAATCCATCGTTGCTGTAAACGACCGGCCACTCCGAGATCTGTGCATTTCCCAACAGGAAACTGGTTTCTGCACCAAAATACAGCAACAATACAGCAGTGAGAAACAAAACTCATCACAACTCTACACCCCTGCAGACTCAAGTGCAGCTGTTGATCCACCTTTTGGGGGTTTTGTTGGGGAAAGTAAGGCCATCCAATCATTGCAGCGGGAGTTATGCAACTGCAGTGTCATTCAAGTGACTGATTTGGCTGTTTCTGGATTTGATCATTTCGATTTTTTGTTTGTTTTTTAAACTCTCCTACAGGTCCAGCTAACCAGTGTCATGAATAAGAGAAAACCTCTGCAAATCTGTACTTCCAATGATTGCAATTATTCAAATCACCCTAAAGCTCCACATCATTTTAATAACCATATAATGCATAATAGACACACGATCATTAATATAGAAAGAATCAGCAAGCATTGGTATTCAGACGAGTCACTGGGTAGAAATAATTGTTGATAAAATGTTTATGTTCCAGTCCTAAATATTGATGAGGAAATGCAAACTTCTCCAGCTTTACAGCCGTTTGGACAGAGCTGCTGTCGGGAGAGAAAAGACTGAGGACGTTTTCTGCTATTTACAGTCCGCATTACAGCTGTCACACTCGAAGCTTCGGCTTGTTTATCTTGAATTTAACGTTTGTGTGTCGGATTAGTTTATGCTGTAAATCAATGAGTCCTTTCTGCGACCGTTTGCAGGAGAGAGACAATCATTTCTAAACTTTAGGTTATTGTCCCCGACTGAATTTGTATAAATTATTAATTCATGGTTCATTTTCCGCCTTTACACAGTTTATACTACAGTTTGTCTTACACTGTGCACTTCTTCTGTAATGAAAACCATCCATCTCACACTTAGTCTCACTTTCATATAAATGAATGCATTTTTAATAACAGTATTACCTTTCTGTATAATAAATAATACATAATAACAAATATTAATGAATTAAATTATGATCACTAGGGTTTCATGTAAAATATAACAAAAATGGTCTGACTGACCAGCACCTCTGCAACATCTTCTGCTGAATTGTTATTATGATTTATTTATTTATTGTATAATGCACATACATAAAAGTACCCACACCACATTCTTGTTTTCACTAAAACATGTTTTCCTATAGTCCTGCATCTACAATAGCTCATCAGAAATAAAGGACATATTTATTAAAAAGAGCCTTAAATCTTAAGCAGAACATAAATGAAATGTACTTGGACAGATCATTAAACCTGTTTCTATATATAAACAAGTGAAACAATATATATTTAGGGTGACAAGAATACTCTATTATGTGAATTACACTAAACTATTTGAGTTTGTTAAGCAATTCATCAGGACATATATTTAATGTACAGTGTAATAAAGAAAAACGTGTGAAATCACCAACAAAGTGGAGCTGCTTCTCGTTAAATAACAGAAACAACATGAGAGGTTTTACATCCCGTGCAGCCCTGTGCGGTACCTTCACTGACATGCCGGATTAACATCAATTAATTATTGTTTTTTCTTTCAAAGTAAAACTCACCGCTGGAGCGCCGGACAATATTTTCCAGAAAAGTGTTCTGCGGGGCCACCAGTCCTCTCTTACCCCCATGCATTGTGAGTTTTCCGAACACACACTCAGAGCTGCTCGGTGGTCGTGCTGTTGTAAAATACCCTCTCAGATCACTGCCTGGCCGGAGCGTGCACCACCACAGTTAAACTACCAGATTTTTAATAGGAACTTCCAGGCTGAAGTTTTAAAAATAAAAGCCTTTTTCTGAATGTGACATTGTTTCAGTTTTACTTAACATAAATGGAAGATTATGAAATGTGGAACATGTGGTACATTTGATCTAATATCGCTAAACTGTTATATTTATATTTCAAATCCAGCCACGTTGGAATGTATTTGAGGCGTGACCGGGCGTGACATGAGTTTAGTCCAAAAACATGCAACATATAAGATAAATAGATCCTTACCCACTAAATAACAATCATCTTTAAGATATATCTAGTACACATCATGGGTAAAAGTCACATCAGCATATATAAATAAAAATAAAGAACATTAAATTCGATGCTTTTATTTTGAAAGGGGATGTCGCTGCTTTCGTGTGTTATTGTGGTCTCTGGATTTTCAGACCCGTAGAATACACATGAATTAGACTGAATTTAAAGTACCTTTGTTGACATATAACGTTGATCATACATACACGGACCTGATATTTCTATTACAATGTTGTAGAAATTAAGAAAATTATGTTTTTGTTTAAAATGGTAAATTATTTGGAGATGTATCGATATTTATTCGCTTTGATTTTACATTTGAGTGATTATACATTCATCATTTAACTCGTTAGGTTTTAAATGAAGGACTTTTACTTGCAATAGAATATTTTCAGTTTATTACTAGTATTTTAAGTAAATATTCTGAATACTTATTTTACCACCAGTGGTGTAAAAGTAACGTACTCAAGTATACTTAATACCATTTAGAGAGACTTCTACTTTTTTGCTACTTTGTACTTCTACACATTTCAATTCAGAGCTAAATCGTGTACTTTTAGTCCACTACATTTATTTAGTACCTAGTTACTTTGCAGATTTGGATTAATGATGTGAAATATAATCAACACTTAAATAAGACTTTAGTTACACCTGCAGTACAATTCAAAAGCTACCCTGCAGTATACAAAGTTTTTAAAACTAGCTGCTCCATTACCAGCTTCGATAAACACTATAATGCATCAATCATTATAATACAAACATATTACATATATTATTCTAAAATGGGCAAATTTGAATAATGAGTCATTTTACTTTTATTTGATGCTTATACTTTAGTACTTTTACTTGAGTAACATTTTGATTGCTGGACTTTTACTTGTAACAGAGTATTCCTTCACTCTGGTTCTTCTACTTTTACAAGATCAGACAAAGTAGAAACAGAGTTGCACTTTCTGACAGAATGAACACAATTCAAACCAATCCGAACAAAATATTTCCATAAATGTAATAACAAACATCCTGAATTTGACCACAATCCTAGGAGAGCTCACTAGAGCAGCAGAATATTTGTTTACCTGCCACCAGGGTTGGGTTGTAACGGAATACATGTAACGGCGTTACGTAATCAGAATACAAAAATCAAGTAACTGTATTCAGCTCGCGTTACATTTGAAAAACGAGTAATCTGATTACAGTTACTTTCGTAAACCTGAAGTGAATACATTTTGGATTACTTATTGGAATTATTGATGGAAATATTTCCTCACAACATTTAATATTCATTATTAAAGGTAGGCTACAGCCGAATCATCACAGCGCACAAACACTTTTACCGCCGCAGATGGACCAAAAAAGGGAGCGAAAAAAAGGGGCGGGGCCGCTCAGTGAAACAATAACAACGAAACATGGAGGAACAAAAGTCTGCGTTTAAGTCGTGTGTGTGTAGAGGTGTGTGTGGTTAAAACACATCAGCCTGCGGTCGCTCTTTAGCCTTATGATTCTGAAGGTAAACACAGCGAAGGCGGTGCGTGAAAGGCACGGCACGCTCCTCTTCTGAGTTAACCCTCCCGCTGCCTCCTGGTGCTGCAGAGATTTCATGAAGTGAAGGAGGTGTTCCTTCTATAAAACAGCTGTGGGCAGCAGATAGGCTACTGTGAGTGTCACGGACATGAATTCATAGATCAAGGCAGACTGGTGCACTGTGCACAGAGTCTCCTGTTTTGCCGATCCGGTGCTTAAACAAATATAGCTCTACACCCCTGGCCGACATGTCCTTAAAATGAAGTCCGAGTTCGACATTTTAATTCATGTCCTGCCAACACTTGCAGGACAGAATGCGACACGCCCGTTCTAAGCCGTGTCCCTCACTCCTCACATCCCAAGCTGCATCCCCAAAAAGTGTATTAGCCTATGTTGTTGCATCGTTTCAGATGTTATGTTTCAGTTGTGCTCTTGATAAGCCATTAAAACAGTAAAAATACGTTCAGTTTCCTTTTGCTTTTTGTGTCTCCTGTTCACCAAAACATACCCATCTGTTATGGAAAAAGAAAGTAATCCAAAAGTAATCTAAAAGTAATCTGATTACGTTACTTTTTTAAGACACGTAACTGTAACTGTATTCGGATTACTTTCAGAGCCATGTATTCAGTAATCAGTAACTGATTACATTTACAAAGTAACCCTCCCAACCCTGCCTGCCACAACCTCAGGAACAGTGAGTGAGTTAATGTTTTTGCTGTTTGCCACGCCCACATGTATCGTTCATTACAATGTATGTTAATTGGTGTTCTTTTATTTTGTTAACACCTTGTACTACATGCTTTGGCAATGTTATGTTTTTCATGGTCATGCCTATAAAACTCCTTTGAATTTGATCTGAGTACCTCTCCCCCCACTGTCTACCACTGGTCATCCAGCACAACAAGTACTTTAGTTTTGAGGCAATCTTTTTGTATTTATGTGTAATTTATCGCAACTCCAGCAGGGGTGGTAACTCCAATATTTTTGATTGAGACCGACTAAAATAAAGTCAAACGAAGAAGACACACATAGTTGAAGTACTAGAAGAAGAAGAAAAATAAAAAGAAGAAGAGTAGTGAAACAGGAATAACGGCCTGACTGACGCAGTTAGTTGGATGGAATGGGATTTACGGGAAAGTAATGGTTAACTGTAACGGACTTTGGATGCTGCCGCCTCCTCCGCTGTACAAGATCTGTGTTTTGAATGCGGATAACAGGCAGTAGTGCCGCGTAGCTGCTCCGTGCTGTTAGCTCCCACACTGTTGTTTTATTTCGTTAAGAGGAATGCCACGGCCGCCGAGCTCCTCTTCCCTTTAATCTCGGTCTACGAACATGAACTCCATTTTTACGACGAAGCAATTTTAAAAACAACCCGTTAAAAAAACAACAGTTATTGTAGTCATGGCGACCGACCTTTTAAAGACGTTTGTACAGATGTGTAATTATCTCCAAGACCCCCGCCATGTAGCGAGGTTTCAAAAAGTGTGCGGCGTTAAAGGGACATTTCCGGTTAAACCGAGCGAGCCGGACCGCGCGGAGTCGGAGCCTGAAAGCCCCGTGCTGAGGAAGAGGGGACCGGACAGTAGTGTTGTGAACGGAGCAGCCGGGGATGCGAAGGGGATGCAGGGTGACATTACAGCCGGGCCTGATTTTCCGTCCGTCGACCCGGACACAACCAGAGCGAAACCCTTGCGGAAAAACTCCCTGACCGGAGACGTGGGTCAGGAGTTCCTCATCCACAACAAGTTTCTGTTCTACCTGTTCACGTTTGGGACGGAGCTGGGCAACGAGATGTTCTTCATCGTCTTCTTCCCCTTCCTCTTCTGGAACATCGACGCCCTGGTCAGCCGGAGACTCATCGTGGTCTGGGCCTGGAACCTGTTCGTGGGACAGTCCACCAAAGACATGGTCCGCTGGTCCCGGCCCGCGTCCCCTCCTGTGGTCAAGGTGGAGGTCTTCTACAACTCCGAGTACAGTATGCCGTCCACGCACGCTATGACGGGGACAGCCATACCCTTCTGTCTCTTCATGCTCACCTATGGACGGTGGCAGGTGAGCACCCTTTTTAAACATAGAGCATCACTATAAGCTTCAGATCTATATGAACATAACATCTTTCTGTGCTGTAGCTGCAGACAGAAGATGTGCAGTGTAGGTACAAGTGTGCAGAAGTTTTTAAAAAAAAGGCTGATTTACTAACATCATGAGGGGTTGGCTGCCACACAGGCCCCATAAAGCTCCAAGTTGACTTTCAGAATCAAAAGAAAGTTTATTGCCAAGTAGTTTACTGTTCTCACTTACAAGAAATCCCCATGGTGTTTGGTGCATACAATAAACTATGCCTGTGAATACATTTAAGAGGAAACAAAGATACAGGCATAGTACTTTAAAAGTCATTATGTAAAAATGACAATACAACTATGAAAAAGATACTTTAAAAACACAAAATATTACAGTTTAGTGCGGGATGTGCAAAGATATTGATGGGGGGAATACATATTTTTATAAATTGCAACATGATCAATATTCGTTTTCCTTTTAGAGGTGAAATTATTTAGTGGATTAGTGTTTCCACCTTTCTGGTTTTTAGGTTAATATGATGCTCACACATATGTGTGTTTAATTACACACCAACCAACACACTGCAGTATTCCAGCTGATCTGAGGCAGGAAATACACATTATACACAAAGAGTGGGGGGGAAGGGGAGGATTTGATAGCCCCCACAGTGTTAATCCATCTCTGAGGGCAATACACATGGCAGAACTAGGCCACAACCTTATAAATCTAAATCAACAAATATCTGGCTTTGATAACCCACTGGGAAGGTGGTCTGAATTAATAAAGTCCAACTTAAAAACACCAGCGGTCATGAAACCCACAAAGCACTTGACCTTGTAAAATATCACAAGCTCCACGTGACACAAATGTCAGAAAACACAGTTGTCAGCCTCTTTTAATAAAGAGAGTTCCTGTTTTTCACAGTTCTACATCATTAAACTGAAGGTTCTGAGGTTTGGAACTGACAAAACTATACATCAAGACTATAACTAGAAGATTCATTAATAATACAACGAATTGTGAGTTGCAGCCCAAGTTACCATTATGCTCCTAAGTATCAATAGACGCGTTCACACCGGAG